AGAGGGGAGAGGGGGAGGAGGAGGAAGATCTCTGGGAGGAGCAGCCAACGAGTGGAGGGATGGCCTTCCACGGAGAGAGAACAGCATATGCAAAGGCTTGGCAGGGTGACGCCCAGAGTGCGGCCACATTGCTAGTGTGCCTTTTGCATGAGAGGCAAGAGAAGAGGCTGCATCACCTAGTGAGTCCAGACTCCCATAGCTGGAGGCCTTTGGACTGCAAACTGCATGTTTTTGACCCTCAGCCTGAGATCTCTCAGAGTCTGGAGAGGGTTTGCCCACCTGCACCTTCCTCAGGAGGAGGAAGGGTCTGAAAGGAGCTCCCTCTAGTCAGTGTGAACCATGTGCTTAGCTAGGGGGCTGGGCCCTGCTCTATGGACTAGTATCTCCCCCCTCAGTCTAATCTCAAGAGAGACCTACTTTCTAGCATGGTTATGAGGGTTAAATAAGTGCATAAACTGTTTCATATAATGCTTGACACAGTACGGTTTTAACTAATGTTGGCTGTTAAAATTATCCCAAGGACACCCTAACCATTTTGTTTCGAGGTTCCCTCTCTATGAGGACCTAAGTGTTCTCTTTGCTCATTCCTGGCCCCCCCAAATTCTCCTCCAGGACTTCATTACTGCATTATGCTGCAGCCTTATTTTGGCTTCTCAGGGAGGGTGGGAGGGCGAGCCTCTGAGCGCCTGACCTTGTGAGCTGGGCTGTTCACAATGAAGACAAAGACTCACTCCCGGCCCCTCGACTCTGTCTCTACTCATCCGCCCTTTTTTGAAAAAGCCACCCCCACTTATTACCAAGCCCAGCAGCCAGGCCCAGGCGACTGAAGGTAGCAATTAGATAGTTAGCACCAGCCCAACCCACCTGCCCAGAGTCCCTCGAACATGTTTTAATTACAATCCCTTAATCTCCTTCAGATGGTGAGGTTAGCGCTAGGGCTTTTGCCCCAACGGCCCTCCCCCCGCCTCCCCCCAATTAAGTGGTCCTCTTAGCCAAGTGTCCCTTTCCCAGCTAAAGGCCTCCCGGCCCAGGAGGAGTAAGATCACGCACAGACGGCGACCAGCGCACCGGAAGTTCCCGCCGGTGCAGCTGAACACCCTCTGACCGCGTCTCTGCCTGAGCACAGACGAGATGCCCGGGACCAGTTGTCTTTCCCTCGGTCTCCTCCTGTCCTGGTTTGTCTGTGTTCTCTGGGAAGGATCTTTCTTTCTCTGGCTCTTTCACAGTGACTTCTATTTTTCTGTCAACCCACCCAGGCCACCCTGTCCAGGCCAGCTGTCTTCCTTGGCAGTTCTATCAAGGAGCCACCAGGTTCCATTACACAGGGAATTGAGGTTAAGACCCTGAAGGGCTGTCTCTGGTGGCAGCCCTGTATTGGCCTCCTACTGACCTCAGCAGAGGGCAGCCTTGCTCACCGCACTTCATGCCTAGCCAGGCCTCCGACACTCTTAGCCACACGGGGACTGGCAGAATCCTGGGCAGGCCTCTGTCCCTGAGCTTCGAGCAGGGCAGAGGTAGGGGGAGGGAAAAGATGACCCAGCATGTGGCCCTGTCTGAAGCTGAGCCTGGAAGACGCTCTTTCCTGGGAAAGTTCTTTCACTAATTGACTTGCAAATGCCTCTTCGTTTGTCCCCAGATTCATAATTAGTGCTAAGGATTTCTAGGGCCCCATCCCGGAGGGGCTTTTATGGGGACAGCCTGTTCCTCTCCCCTCTCCAGGGTCAGCTGGGTTGGGGGTGGGTGGGCAGAGCTGGGCACCGGTGCCCAGCTGCCGTCCAGCGTTCCCACGGCTCTGGTGCCAGCATGTAAAAGGCGAAGTGTGGGGGGTGGGGGGCCAGGGCTCCCCGCCATCCGTCAGCCGGGACCAGGGCCAAAGCCCTGAGGCTCCAGGAAATGACAGAGCTGGCGAAGGGCAGTGGCAGCGAGTGGGGGCTGGCTGGCACCCCCAGGAAGGAGAGCCCAGCTTGTGCTGGGGGCCTGGCATGGCCGAGACTCCAGCACAATGAATGGACCAACAAGGGGCCTCTCTTCCCCACGGTTCACCCACAAAGGCCTTGGCTGCACCGCTGGATGTGATGGGCTGGGGACACTGGAGGAAGAGAGGCCATTTTCAAAGACACCCCCACTCCCTGGCTCTGCACTCCCAGGAAGGGGGCCTGGGCTGGGGCCCGGGGTCTTGGGTTCAGGCCCATTATGGACTTGGACCTGCTGAGCAAGGAGGGTCACCCTCCCAGTCTCTCTGGGCCTCAGTTTTCCCCACCGTATTTTCCCTACCTTCCTTCCCAGCCCTGATGCCCCTCTCCAGGTTTCTACCCTCTCAGCTGCCACCAGCAGCCCCACCCCACCCTCCACTGCTAGTTCTCAGCCCTCCGCAGGCCCTCTCTGGACTGAGGCACAGCTAGGCCCCTCCTCAGGGTGTGTCCGTGCCCCTCACCCAGGCACTGCCCACCAGCCCCTGCCACCCTCACCCCCTGCAGGTCAGGAGGAGCTATTCCAGTCTGTGAGCCAGGAGGAAATAGGAAGATTCTCAGCTGGGGCCGACTGCCATGGAGTCCGAGGGGGCCCTGCCATTCGCAAACTATGCGACCTGGATAGGGCTGCCGGCCTGCCAGGGCCTTATCTGTGAAAGGCCTCAGAGGTTCTCTCCAGGACCCAGTGAGACCGAGAGTGGAAGGCACTGTGTGGCACCTGGCATGGGTGGATGCTCCATCAAAGTCCTGTTTATCACTGTCTCCCTCTCAAAGCTCCTGGTCAGTCTTCCTGTTTCTCCGTGACTGATGCTCTTTCGTGGTCTACTCCCCATTGTTTTTGCCTGACTATCCCAGCAGCCCCTCTAGAGTCGCAGTTTCATCTCCCAAACTGGCCATTTTCCTTTGGTAAGTCCCTCCTGAAGTCCAACCACTGCCAGTTGCCCCTCCCCAAGCTTGGCGTCTTCCCACGTAGCCCAGCATCTGGGGCCCTGAGGGAAAGGGGTGAAGCTGGGCTCTATGGTAACTCTGAGAAGAGAATGCCCTTTCTCCTCATCTGCATACAGACAGTCTCATTTACATACAGACAGGTCTCATCTGCATAGGCTCAGTAGGATTCTGAGAGCACATTCTGAAGTGTCCCTCCTGGACCCTCCTACCTGCGTGCTGCCATTCCTGTCGAGGGACACCCCTACTGCCCCAGTCTGGGGCTGAGTCTTTCTGTTTCCAAAAGGCAAACCTGCTGTGGCTGGTGCCCTGCTTTTCTTTTCTGTGCCTAGAGGAATTCTACCCCCTCCTCTTCCACCTCCTCGTGCCTGCTCCAACTTCCCAAGCCAGGAAGGAGGCCACTGGTGGAGGCAGAGGGCAGGTCCCAGTCACCGCTGTCAGACTGATGCTCTGATGCTTGGGCTCGGGGTCCAGACAGAAGCTGAGGCCAGGGAAGGCTGTGCGGGGCAACTTCCCACATGCTGACCCCAGACCAGGCCCTGTGTCCATTCACCCCTACTCCCCAGGGATTGAGGGGCAGGGGTGAGGAGGGCCCCGAAGTGGGTTCTTGCCAGGCTGGGCAGCAGGAAAGTCCTGAAAGGAGGGCTGGGAACTCCAGAGACACTCCCTGGGCCTGGTGGGCCCAGGGCTCAGCCCCTTGAGTGTGCCAAATTGACACAAACTGCCAGGAACTGCCTCTTCCTGGCTACTTTCTAGGCCTCAATCAGCCCTCCTGGATATGGGCCTTGTGGGGGACCCTGGGACTCCTCGGCATGCAGGTTGAGGGAGACTGGGAGTCCTCTCCGGATAGGCCCCACCAGGCTGGGTACCGGGGCGTAGTCCTCTCCCTCTCTGGCCTCACTGCCTCTGTAAAATGAGGAGCAGGGCTGGACCAGGTGGCTCTTAATGCCTCCTTCCTGGTAACATCACCCAGCGTTCTGTATGCAATTTCACAGATGCAAGGGTCGCCTAACGTCCATCTTGACCTCAGACTCGGGTCCTGGTCTCCAGGAGCTAAAAAGCTGTGGTCCACTTTTAAAGGGAGTGTGGACAGGTGCTGGATGCATGTGGAGTGTCTCAGGGCAGACACAGGTGCCAGTGGTTGCCTCTTGGGACAGAAGATGAGTGGCTGGAGACAGGGGTGGAAAGGAGACACACTTTCCTTTCTGTGCTGTTAGAATTGTACTGTGTATTTTCGTAAGCTTTTTTATTTAGAAAAATTCCAGGATTCAGGCTATAGTTCCATGGAGGGGTTGTGGTTAGATGAGAGGAAGGACTTTTTAGAGAATGGTGGAGAACCTAGGATGTGCTGGCAGTCTGGGCTCTGCTAACACTTTCCAGCTCGAGAGTGAAGGGCCCATCCCTTGGGGGAGCACGTTGGATACAGATGTGTTATGGGGGGAATGGAATCAAGAGCACAGAGTCCCAGCTCCTTCTTGCTGTGGTTCCCCTGCCCCTCAACTTTTCTCTCAAGAGCTTACTGGGAAATCCTACCTGCTCTCTACCCTGAATTCCTCTTTCTAGGCATATTTATTCCCTTCTGTTGCTACTGAAGAAGGGAGCAGGGGTGGGTGGCCTTGTGGCGCAGCAGTGCTCTCTGTTCGTAGTCTGGTCAAACCCAGGACATATCTGAGGAAGGGGTCCCTTTGAGGAGGAATCAGAGGCCCACCCACCCAGTGACTTCCCACACAGGCGCTCTGGGGAAGAATCCCACCTCTCCCATTCTCTTAGTTCTTGGGATGATACTGAGGGGCCTCCTTGACTGGGAGCATCAGCCTACTGCTCTGAGTTGGGACTGATCAGCCACGGGTGGCATTCCCAGGAACCTTAGGGTGGCTGAGAGACCGAAGGAGCCAAAGGGATCTTTGTTCCTCCCCCGCCCCCACCGAGGGAGTTCTGTCTTCATGAGGCCTTCCCCTCCTGTTGCAATGGTGGCTTCTAGCATTGGTTCCTGGTGGGGGACGGGCTGGGATTGCCTGTGTCTCTTTTAGTCCCTCCCCACCCAACCCTGTGCAGGCACATCCAGTCCCACTAGTACTGTTGTTCAGTAGTCAAGAGTCTTTATTAGACAGGAGATGGGACTTCCTTCTCAGAGGAATCTCAGCTCAGACAACACAGGAAAAAACAGGACAGGATGGGACCAGAGCCAATGGTGAAGCCAGGTCTTATTCCAGGTGGCCCCAGGTGTAATCGGCTGTCCAGGCTGGAGGCTGGGGCCTTTCTCCTTCCTTTCTGTTCACAAGCTTCTTGGAGAAAGCAGCCAATTTGTTAGAGTTTAGCCTCATCTTTCAGTCAATCCAGGAAGGACTCTTAGAGGGAACCAGACCAACTAGGTGAAGTAGGTTCTTTATTTTTGATCTGAAAAGAAAAAAAAATGTCAAGAGCAGAAAAGGTTGTCTTGGATGGAGACCCTAGCAGTAGGCAGAGGACAAACTCCCAGGGAGAACATCCAGTGGCTCTGGAAGGGCTTCCCCTCCATCAGGAAAGATAAGGGGTTGGGAGGGTCCCCCCACCAAGGGCTACTATGACAGTGGCTGACTTTAGGTTGCTTTTCTAGGTGCTCTACCCAAGACCATGTGGCACAAGGAATGCCCAGGGTGGGGACTCAGATGTCGAGCGGGTAAGAGAGTAGGTGGACGCCCAGGGACTTGCTTCAGGAAGGTGGGAAGCGTGCTTCCCTTGGCCAGAGAGCAACCTGGGAGGACTTGGGTGACTTCCACAGCTTCTGTGGCCTCTTCCTCAGTCCTGCCTTCAGCCTGCAAGGACTGTTTTTAGCATCCCCTAGACTTCACCCCTGCACGTAAGGTGCATGGCCCCTTCCTCCCCTGAGACTTGTCCAGAAGTCCCCCTGCCTATCTGCTCCTCTCTCCCATCAGGCCCTCCCATCATGTTTGGAGCATGTTCTGTCAGAAGTCAGCGCAGGATGAGAGAGAGAAAGAGAGAGAATATGCTCCAGGATCCACAGAGCCTCATCTGAAGCCCAGCCCAACCTACTAGCCCTGTGATGCTAGGCAACATGTCTTTCTTGGGCTCTGATTCTACCTTTGTAAAGTGGAGACAGTATCTCCTAGTTTTTAGGACTTTTGGAAGATTAACCAAGATAACAGCTAAGAAAGGGCTTACACAAGCAAGTGGGTGCCTAGTCAAGGTCAGTTCCTTCCTGGGGTGCAGTGGAGCTGTGCCTATGATAGAAGTATAAAGTCAGTAGGAGCTGCACAGAAATTGGGTCAGAAGCACAGCTGTGGGCAAATAATTCCTTTCCTGCCTCCTCTGGGGTGGGGAGCCAGCAGCTTTGGTAGCCCTGAAAACTCACCTGAGTTGACTTCTCCAAAGAGCTTTAAGATTTGAGACAAGATTTCAGAGAGGAGTGGGGTCCTGAGCCATGCCTCTGCACTGCCCAGGTCTGCTTGGATCTGTGCCACCTTCCCGACGCAGACCCTCAGACTTTCCAAACTCACGTCCCTTTTCCCTGCCTTACCTCCTCCTTTCCCTGCCCCACTCACATCCAACCCACAACTCTATTTTTGTCAGATCCCTAACCTGGACCATACTATGGAGGGATGGGGATAGGAGGTCCACCTCACTCATCATACTGGAAACTCCCCAAAGGTAAGGCTTTGGTCTCCCTCAAATCTGGGCTCCTTGAAGCACATGCCCCTGACTCCTTCTTGCCTTCTTCTGGGCCTAGGCTGGCTCCCAGAGGCCCTGAGCTAAGCCAGCTGTTCTTCAACATCCCAACTAAGTCTTCCTCCCTCTCCCTCCACAGCCTCCTTCCCCATTCCTTGCTCCAAATCCTCAGCCTGCCTGGGAAGCCTCCTAGCCTCAGGTTGGCTGGATTGCGGGGAGCAGCAGAGGAGACTGGTGTCTGTCAGGGCTTGGGAAAGGTTGGTAGACGAAGGTCTATGCAGGCCCTCCCCTGGGTGGGGGAGGAGGAGTCCAGATGGAACAGTCTCCACCCGTTCTGCCCACCCAGCTCCAGGCAGAGCCAGCATCTCCTAGCAACGGTTTGGTAGCAGGGGTCTGGGAAGAAGGTGGGGGCTGATAAAGTAGGGTGGGGAACAATGACATCATAAATTATCCCCAGCCTCTCCCTGCCAGCCCACTCCTCCTCAGTTGAGAATGGCCTTTTTCTCTCCGCCTGCTCCTCATTCCAGACTCCCTTAGCAAAGCTGGGCCCTGTTCAGGGCCCCTTGTAGATGCTCCTCTAGGTCAAGGTGACCATTCTCTCAACCTTCTGCTTGAGTCCAGAGGAAGGACAAATTCTCATCATTCCAGGATTTCTTGGGGGCCCTGTTGGAACCCCCCCAATGGTGAGAGGGGAGACTGTGCCTCCCAGAGGACCCCCATACCCTCAAACCCTGGGAGACTATCACTTTCCAAGGGTCTCTGGCTCCTGCTTCTTTCTTTGGGTGAGGATGGGGGCAAGGAAGGGGGATTCCCAAGCATTTGGTGACACTGTCTCCCCTTCTCTAAACAAAAGGTTTTAGACCTAAGGCTCCTAAGTCTTTAAGGGCACTTGGACCTCTCACCAAGCCAGCCAAGTCTCAGTTCCCTATCCCAACAGCTGGAGTCCAGGAAGCCCAAACAGGTGACCAGAGGTGGGTGGCGGTTTCTTCTTTACTTCTCAAATCAGTCATGTCCAGCCAAGGGTCAAGAAACTGATGTTTCAACAGTACAGATCTTGATTAGACATTGGGAAGGACTTCCCAAGGCAGGCAGTCTGTTAGAAACAAGAAATTAGGTGGGAAACCTCTTAAATTTTATTTCATTATTGTTTCTTAGTTATATTAAATAGCACCTAGGGCGTATTTTTAATTTTATTTATTTATTTTTAGAGAGAAGGAAATGGAGAGAGAAAGAAAGGAAGAGAATCAACAATGTGTGAGAGAAGCATCGATCAGTTATTTGTCTCTCACACACCCCCAACTGGGCACCTGGCCCAACAACCCAGGCATGTGCCCCAACTGGGAATAGAACTGATGACCTTTTCATTTGCAGGCTGACACTCAATCCGCTGAGCCACACCAGTCAGAGCAGTAGTATTTAGCACAGAACCTGACATATAGCAAGTCTCCATTTGGGCTATTTTAAAAAATAATATATTAATATGGATCAATATCAGAAAGAAGGGATAAATCCCTGGAGACCTATCTGCCCCCCCTCCAAGAACCCATGGGACAATCCAGATATGAGGTAGCGCTCTCAGTACAACATGGCAGCCAATTGCCATGGCAACAGCAGGAGTCTGGTTAGTGGCAGGGCAGTGCCAGGAAACCAGTTGGTGCCAGATGCATGAACCCAGAAGATAGCCCCAGCCGGGTGAAGCTCATGCCCCCGTGCCCAGGGCTGTCCCTCCGTATGCCAGCCTCTGCCTGCTCTTTCCCCCCAGAACTAAAGGCTCCACTGCTATCTCTGGGGGATGATGCCAAAAACTAATCTTCCTCCTGATTCTTGCATGTACAACAAAGAATGAGCATTTAGAGACAAAAGTCCCTTCCTGTGCAACGTCTCCCTGCACCATTGGCTGAGGGATCTAAATAAGTGTGAACTTAGCTGTCATCCCCGTATACCAAAAAGTTTGTGGGTTTGATTCCTGGTCGGGGCACATTACCTGGATTACTAGTTCTTCTCTAGTTGGCATGCACATGGGAGGCAACCAACGGATGTTTCACATCTGTGTTTCTCTTTCCCCCTTCTTCTTCCTCTAAAATCAATAAAACATCCTTGGGTGAGGATTTAAAAAAAAACAACAACTTGTTTTTGTTATCCTTCCTGCAGACAGAGACCCTCTGTCAAATCTGCGAGCTACCTGCAAGCTCAGGTTGTATCCGCAGTCATTCTACTGATTCCAGGGCCCTAACACGAACACTTAGAAGGGACAGTGTGTATGAGGGTTTGGAGGTAGGGAGACGGCCTGTCTATCCACACTTTAGACTAGCAATCAGTGACGGGTCACACAGGGGGAAAGCCTCTTTGGGGGAGGACAAGATTGGGTGTGGGAATTGAAGTGGCCTAGAGACTCCTTTTTAGCTCCAGTCCATCTCTTCTTTCTATCCTCCCAACGCAACCCTCACTGGGGGAGGAAGCCTATACAGGAGGTGGAGGGGAATCAAAACTCTTCTGGGAAGATGAGAGACTCAGGGTGGAGACAGCCTCGGAAGCACGGGAGGGCATGTGTGCGGGCTGGGGAAGGGAGGCTGAGAGACCTGGCAGAGTATGGAGTTACAGCTGCGAAGAAATGGGGAAGTGCTGGGAGCCACCATGCTTGTGACACCCAGGCCAAGTCTCAGACTCTTTTTCCTTCCTGGATCTGGTTAAAGCTTAAAGCCAACCCTCAAGACTTCCCTCCTCCAACCCTATTCCTCTCCCCCACCAGTGGGCCCCCTAGGAGCTAAGCCCCTTCACCTGACAGGGCCAGTTCCATGGCCACTCACAGAGAGGTCTTTGTACAGAGGCTGAGCCTGGGGAAGGGGATGTCGCCAGCTCCTCCTACTTACATTCCACCCCAGCGCCCAGCAACGTGGCCAGTCATCATCTCCTCAGCTGTCTGTCTAGCCTCTTACCCCTTTCTCTAGAATAATCCCCTCAGGGCCTTGGGCTACCCCTGGATACCCTTTCTCCCTTCTGTCACTCCCTCTTCCAGAAATTTTCAGGACTGAACCTACTTCTCTGTTCTTCACTCAGGTCCTCAGCGGCCCATCTCCTGTCCCAACTGCAGGGCACTCATTGTGCTGGGGACCAATCTTGGCTTCTCCATATCTCCCCACCCACAGAGCTTCTGTAAGGCCACTGTGTGTGTGCATGCATGCATGTGTAGTGTGTGTGTGTTTAAGGGGAGCATGCTAGTGGGGGAGAAACAGAGACCTTTCCTCATGTAGCTTCCAGGCTTTTCATATGTTTCTTCATTTATTCAGAACTAGCTGAGAGCCAGTTCAGTATCTGGCTGGGTGTTGGGCTCAGTGAGCAGCTAGATGGGGCTGTCTTCAACCCTCCTGGGAGTGGTTAGTGCTGGTCTCCCACCATACCCTGCGCCCGGCATCTCTGAGTATGTCGACTAATTTCCCAGTAGACCTATCAGTTCCAGTCTCCCCTGGCAGAGTACATAGGCTCTTAATAACCAAAATCCTGCCTCCGTTCCCTACCTCCTCCTAGCCCAGGCTCCCTTTGCTGGACACTCCAGTTCCCTAACACCGCGGGCTCTTTCTTCCCTACCTCCTTGCCTTCAAGTAAGCTGTCTACTCTCCACTACCCACTTCCTCAAGCTCCTTAGACTGACGACCCCCTGCTTACCCTTTGTTCCCTTATCTTTGATCACTTATCCTTTAAAAGACTCCCCCTCCAGGAAGCCTTCAGGAATGAGACAGATGTGCTAAAAGTGAATGAGAGTGAAAAGAAAGGGGGAGGGAAAAGGGCTCATAGCTGAACCTTGAGGAACACTTTTGGCTGGAGAACTGGTTGACCCAGAGGCCTGGATGGATAGAACAGAAAGAATAACCGGGGATATAAGAAAAGAACTAAAGGCCGAGGGAGAACACAGACTGAATACCAGTATGAAACGTTCCATAGAGGTCACCAGGCCCGAGTAAGGGCTGTTGGGTCCAGCTGAGGAAGCTGTGAGTGGCCCAAGAGGGCGCAGTTTTCAGCAGTTATGCAAACAGCAGCCAGACTGCTGGGCCGAGGAGGGAAGACTTGGAGGTTCCCTTCAAGGACACAGCAGCCCTTCATGGGCCCAGAGATACCCTCAAAATGGCGGGAGATCCTGCATGTCCACACATTACTCTCTCCTCCACCTGCTGATACTCCCAGTTCTGAGTGCTTCAGTACTTTTTACATCACCCACAGCCTGCCAGTCCTCTGACCACTGGTGCTCTGGAACTAAACCCAGGGCAGAGGCCTCTCCACCACCCCTGCTCCCTCCTGGGTGAGGCTTGAATCTCTTCTGGGGTGCCATTCCTCATCTCTCCCTCCTTTCTTCTTTCTCCATCCTCTCTTGCCCCAACCCCTCTTGTGGGAAGACTCAACAATGTTCCTGATCAACCAGCATGTTGATCACCTCCCTCCGCGTCCACCAGCCAGGGGGGCACTCAGCCTGCACCTGTCCAAACGCCGTTTCCACTGGCTACGGACGGACGATGGCAGCCTTCTCCTGCTTCCGCCCCTGCAGCCGCTCCCGCAGCCATGCCTCCGACCCCGGCCCCTTTCCTTCTGGAGCCCGAGCCCAACAAGGTGGGGGGCCAGGCTGGGGAGCCAAGACCAGAGGAAGCAAGACAAAAAAAGGACAGAAAAGCCGGCCCCTTGGCATCTTTCTTTGGCATCTGAATCTAGCTTACGGAGGGAGGGCAGAAGGGAAGAAAGAAAGTAGTGTGAGTTTTTATTTCTGTCCTCTTCCTGCCACTTCCCCCACTACATACACACTTTGATGAAAACAAAATCTCTCCCCTTTTTTCTCTTCTCCACCTCCCTCCCCCTTTTTCCTGGCTCTTACCAAAAGCCTCCTGGAATGCAAATGAGCCATATTATGCAAATCTATGCAAATCGGGCTTAACGAGCGGAAGGAGGAGGCAGAATGCCTAATGAGTAATGGTGGAGGGGTGCAGATGGAGGGTGGCAGGAATGACCCTGTCTTCTTCATTCCCACAGCCTGGAGCCTTGCTAGGGGTAGGAAGCATCCTTCACTTCTGACTACACACAGGGCAAGGCCCCACCGCTTCATCTGAGAAGGCCTAGGATGGCCTTGGCTGTAGGTAAGGGATGCAGAGAGCTTGGGAGGAGGGAGAGTTAAGTACAAGGGACTTGTGCTCATTTGCACAGCCCTGCCCAGAGACTCTTGGATGCACCAGCTTCCCAACCTTCAGCTCTGGTTGCTGAAAAGAGGGTGATGCTTATGCACATCATGGCTTGTGCATCAGAAAGAGGATTCCCAAGGGAAGATTCCCAACTAGACCCAGGTCATTCCTGGGAGTGGGGAGGGTGAAAGCTGTCTCTATGTGCTTTAAAGTGTGTGTGTGTGTGTGGGGGGTGGAGTGGTTGCCATGGCAATGTAGCATGGAACACCCACCTCCCCAACATCCAGTCCCAGAGGACCTAGGAGTGGGGGGGCAGATTAATAGATTGACACCCTCTGATGCCCCCACCACCTGGCACTGCCAGTCGGAGATGGCGCCATCAAATCCTGGAGAGAATGGCTCCTTTGTTTGTAGGCTCACTATGTTGGGGGAGCAGGCTGGGGCACACAGAAGGGCATTTCCCAGGCACTGTTCCAGTTTGCATGACTCTTGTTGGCCTCTGGAGACTCCTTGTGGCCATCCGCTGGCCTCTGTGCCCTGGCAGATGGCTGCCCCTGTGCCTTTTTTTTTCCATGGGCTTGCCAGCTACTGTAGGTATGCCTTTCCCTGTGCTTCTCCCTCCAAACCCTCAAATAGAGACAGCAGTCAGTTGCACCCCTTCCTGGCTTGTGTGGACATGTAGACATCTCATATGTCCAGATATGCATCCTGTCCTATTTCTAGGGGGATAACCTTTGAACTCTCCCTACCATCTTTAGGCCAGCTACCTCCAGCTCAGGCAGAGAGACTCCAAAGGAGGCATGAGACATAATAGGTGGACCAGGTTGAAATGCAGGAGCCTGGATTGGCAGGGGATGGCATTTTCGCTAATCAGCTGAGAGACATTGGTCACAGGTTTTCTACTCTCTTGGGATCTGTAAAATGAGGGATACAGAGCTGATGACATCTAAAGCTCATTTTAGCTCTACCTGGTCAGTTCACTCTGTATCTTGAGTTAAATCCTTCTTGAAATCTAACCCTCTCCTTTTTACTGCTGGAGCAACCTCTCACATTCAGGCTCCCTAACGTGGACAAACCCAATTTCCTGGAGATGGAATGCTAACTGCCCTCAGCCTTATCCTCTCCTTGAGCCTCCACAGTTACCTGCAAACAACTCCTACCAATTAAGAAGCTAGAGGCTTTGATATCCGTCCGTTCAGACAGGAGGACCCCTCCTGACCCTCTGAACAGGGGTCAGCTTAGCCATCTCACTCACCGCCCCGGAGCTGTCCGTGGTGCTGGAGGCGGCTCTGATGCTCGTATGGATGAAAGAAGGTGGAAGGGGGGGGGGGCGGAACCCACCCACCCCAGGTGAAAAGCTAGAGGGAAGAGAAGAAGCGGAGACATTTGGAAACAGTAAGGAAAGGAGGCAGGTGTAAACTTAAAAAAAAAAAAGCTTCTCCTCTCTGAGGATCTCCAACTTGCCAATGCTACTTTTGGGGGCAGGAAGAGCATAAAAGTCATGGGAACTCTGAACCCCCCACCCTTTCATCCCTAATGACTAAAGTTTCCATGACTAGCTCAGTCCTCATCTGGATTTTATTTATAAATTCACATGGAGAGAAGTCATATTTCCTGCACTTGGGGAAGGGCTCAAGTTGAGGTAGTTAACAGGGTACAGACCTCTAAATTCCATCCTAAATTATAAGGCTCCTACAAGGAATTTAAAAATCAAGATAAGGAAGATACACAGGTGTAGATACACAATCTGCCTGATAGTATGATAGATATCAGGAGCTTGGGAGGAAAGGGAAGGAACATAGAAAAGGATGTGTGTGTGTGCGCGCGTCCAGTCAGAGAGATAAGCCTCTATCTTAAGCCTACATCAGTGATATAGCTGCATATTAGAAACAGCAAGGGAGCTTTTAAATGATACTGA